TTTTGTTTAGGTCATCTAATAGGCTTGAAAATATCAATATAAAGACGATTAAGTAACAAAATTCATCGATTGTCTTTAATAAAGTGTCACTTTGATACCAAAAATTACGTTGCTCTGAAACATGATAAGGCCAATCTGAATAAAATGACCATCGTCCTTTAAGGTGCAATTGATGATGTTGCAGGCGTTTATCATTCGAATATCCGAATTATTAGTAGGCCTATAATGTATACATTACTTTAATTGATTTCAACATGCTGTGTATAATATGTAATAATAGGCCTACTATGATGGATAACCATGTATTTTATTCTTTATTTATTGACATGTTTGAAGTCGGAGGCGGATTTTAAGGTGGGTAGTTATGCAGCCGTCCGGGCTCATACATTTTGCAAAAAAATTAAAAGAAATTATTTTGTCAAAAGCCGGGACTAATTTGGACATGAAGGAAGTAAGTGTTTCCCCAGAAAGCACACAGGCATTCAAAACTGGTCAAACCTCCATAGTGGGGCATCCTGGGCATAGTTGAAAGAAACCCTTCAAATAAATCTGCCACATATTGTGTTTGTGGGATTTTGGTCTAGGCCTATTTGGATTTTTTGGAAATTATAGAAAAGGTTACGTATTGTTAAGGCGTTGTAGGAGAGTGTTGAGTATCAGTGTTACGTAAGTATAATAAGTGGGTTCTCCAGAGCCCATTTGGACTCGGACTTCACCCAGAAAGCACATGCGTTACTTAAGGCTTAGTGGTAATTAAATGTGCTAGGTAGTAGTAGGAGCGCCCCCCCCCCAACCCCGAGAGCTCACGAGTTACGCAAATTTGTCCTATTTATTTTAATATGATATGCCATAATTGGACTTTATGAGACAATATATGAAATACTACACAGTTTCTGATATATGTAAACTGCAATACATTATTCATCATTGAAAGAGCTTTCCAACGATACCAAACACGACCACTTTTGATGAGTTTATATACTTATTCTTATTTTATGCACATTTTAAGTATATTTTGCGGTTATTTTAAAACAAATAAACAATTTTTTTTAATTATGTTCCATTCTGGCATGAGTGAAAGTATTTTTTATATGTCTGGTTTGTTGCCTGTATAGAAATTATGAGTTTAGACACCAATATCATATCTGTAGCTTATTTAGTTCCAATTATATGCACATTTTAGATAAATTTGGCGGCCATTTTTCAAAATGGCCGCCATTTGTATACAAGGTGAAAGATCAAGTCTCAACAGGGCTTAGGGTGACCAGGACAGATTAATTAGGATATCTGGCTATGTTGACTGCTTCTAACATTCCACTCCCCTAACTTGATTTTTAGGCCGCTTTTTAAATTTTTTTCCTAGTCTATTATGTACATGGAAATGAACATAAACAACTGGTTAAAGCTCCTACCCGAGGAGCCAATGTGCTGGACGTCATAAACAAAAACCTACAAACCTCCTATCTACCACCAGTAATCACTGCTCCCATTCACTGCAGCGACCATAATGTAATAACAATTGCTCCCAAGACCTAATAGCAATAAGCCCTGTCTCAAAACCATTAGGCCCCTTCCAGAATCTAAGATTTGTCATTTTAGTGCTTAGTTACAGAAGCAGTCGTGGGAAGCAGTTGTTAAGGAATCGGATGTATACATTAATTATTATGATATTTTTTATGAAATCATGAACTCATGAACGCCATTGATAAATATTTTCCTGAACGAATAATTAAGTGTCACAAAACTGACAAACATTGGATGAATAACAGATTAATCAAAACAGTCATTAAAACTAGAAAAGATGTTCCTTTAAGAATTAAAATAAGAAACATTATTATATGAAATAAATAAAGGTAAAGCCAATAATAATGCCAACAAATTTAGACCCATACGACTTACTGACTCTAAAAAGTGGCACAGCGAAATTAGTAGAGTTGCAATATCTCACAAATAGATTATTATTAATATCCCAGGCATTAATCCTGACGAGACCACCGCTGTGGCTGATGCTGTAAACAATCACTTAGCTAGTTTTTCACAAACGCAGGAACCCATCAGAACTGAACCAGAGAACATTTAACTTGTAATTTAACTGTTCCCTGACTGAACGGTTACCTGCCTATCTGCCTAGCCCTCAACTACCCCTAATTTCCAGGCGTACGAGATCTATAAAGATCTCAGTAAAATTATCGTTAAGAAAGCAGGAACCCAACGGATCGTCTTTTTAACCGTTCAGATTGCCACTGACAATCAGCAGACGACGTTGCGTCGTCTATTGCTCGCCGGAAGCAAATGTGGAGTGTCCGGCTTATGTTGCTTAAAGAATGTGCATTTGAACTCAGTGTCCCAGTGACTAATATCATTAATGCATCAATTCATCGGGGTAAAGTTCCCTATTCTGCAAAATGTCATTTGTATCTATCTATGGGACGTAAGCAATTTAAATGACCATCAAATTTTCACCCTAACCTCGATCGTCCCCTACACATACTATCTTCCTTGTAACTTGGGTTAAACATTCCCGAAAGTTATATTCGGATCAGTTGACCCGTTTTTGAAATATTAGGTCTGGAACGTTTTCATTTAAATGGTCCTCATATTTACACCTTGCGTCGGATTATTACAAAAATTCATTCATTTCTTTACTGAACTATTACAAACTATTATAGAAAGTTTCATTTACACCCATTGAAAACTTTTTATAGATATTTACGTCTGGGATCTCAAAAATTTAAAAGACCCTCCAAATTACACCCTTGACTGATTCGTCGCTAACACATAATACTATCTTCCTTGTAACTTGGTTAAACTTTTTCCGAATGTTTCATCTACCAGTTTTCGAAATAATGTGGTCTGGGACATTTTCCTTTTAATGGTCCTCAGATCTACACCCTACTCCGGATCGTCACAAAAATTTAATCATTATTTTTTTCAAAACAGTTACAAAGTATTATAGAATGTTTCATTTAGACCCAATTTTTCTTTTTTTTTCAAAGAGATATTAGGTTCTGGGTCCTCAAAAATTGAAAAGACCCTAAAATGTTTACAACCTTCACTTGATCGTCACTAACACATAAATATTTCGTCCTTGTAACTTTATTAAAGTTTCCCGAAAGTTTCATTCAGATCAACTGATGGTTTTTTTAAATATCCGGTGTACACTGTTTGACCTTAAATCACTTTAATTGGTCCTCATACGCACACCCTACCATAGATTAATACTAAATATTAGGAGGCACATCTTTGATATATGGCCTATGCTTTGGCAACGCACGGAAAAATTCTAAGCATGGGAAGTGACCAAAGTGACAGCCAGAAAAAAAACAAAAGCAGTGCAAAAAGGCAGGAAAAATATATGCAAGAAAAAAGCTAAAAAGAATCAGAACAAAACCAAAGGCTTTTCACAGTACTGCTGGGGAGCCAATAATAACAATAACAATAACAATAATATATTACTTTTACTTATTAAGCCCATGAAACAAGAAATTATTCACAGCTAATTCATTACGTTTAAACATTTATTCGAACGCGAGTCGGCAAAACAACGTTTTGACACTAACATTTTTAAATTTCAGAGCATGTCAATGTTATGTAGTAATATAAAAAACAAAAAGAATACAAATTCCCACCCCACCCCCTCCAACCCCTCCGTTTAAAAAATTCTGGATCCGCCCTTATTTAATGAGACTAATTAAAAATGATTCCTGTTCATATAACAAATTATCGTTTGGATATCCTCATGATGCTTGAAATTGTGATCGGGGACGCAACCTTGTGAATGACAGATTCGGGCATATTTCAAAATGTAGAATTTCACTTTAAAACATAAATTGATTACACTAAGTACGCTTTGTTTCTCATTGTTTTATTCAAATATTTTGAATAATTTTGAAATAATTTGAAAAATTTTGAAAACCGAAGCATCGCTTCGGTTTTGGAAGTTGATTTCGACATTAAAAACATACATAAAGTCATATTACGGTAGCTTGATGTCTTTCAAAAAAAATAACTAATATGAATTCGTCAAATATAGGCTGCTTCCAGGGGCTTCCTCCTTGCACCCCCAACGGGAACCCCAGCCCAGTGAGGGTTGGCTTCGGTCACCTTGTTGGGCAGATCTTGGCGCATCACTGATCACAAGGGTATCCCTGCTGTATTCACTTTATCCCCTTTAATTCATGAACCATACTATCCATAATGTACGCAGTTTCCGAATACAGTCATATTACTGATCCAAAATAATTACAACCCAAATGCCGAAACCTAGTTTGTGCCGTATTTGCCCTGACCGTTGTATAAAAATAATAATAACAGTTTTCGAATTGGAACATGTAATAATTGTATCAAGCATAGCTCATCAACAAACAGTTCCTTTATTTCAGTAACACCAAAATTTAGGTAACTGTATTTAGTAAGAATTTTTCGACTATCTGTAAATATAAATATATAACCGTAGCACCTATTAATTTGCCTTGAGTGAAAAATATGGTTTGCTTAAATTGCAGGTCTAACAGCTAACAACTGATTTGGAATTATAAAATAAATCCCGACAGGATAATGATTTATTGGTCATTCTTTTCTTGATTTTCACAATACTTTATCTGTACTTGAGAACTCTGCACTGCATAAACCTTTTACCACCAACCAGAGGAGTGCCGGTGATGTATCTCCGCCCCCCCCCCCCCCCCCCCCCCACTCAAAAAATGCCTTGTCCTTTCCTCCACCCAGTCTTTAGCTTGAAAATGTCAAAAAGTCACCCTCAATAGTAGAAAATCACCTCATATCACCTTATTTTGCGACCTAGCTCCTATTACTTTATCATTAAATCCCCACTTTCACCTCTTTTGGGCAGTGGAGCTTTGAAAAAGGCAACCTATTTTCTTTTAATGATTTTCTTGTTTATCGAAAAACATATCTGTAGTTGTGTTGTATAACCTGTGGCAGACCTGCAAGCTACTATATGATTTTGTTTTAATACAAAATAAAAGGAAAATACAAACCTCTTCACGCATTTCTTTAAAAGTGATTCGTAAAATAACCATCCAAAAGTTGTATATAACTGCAAATGTCACCAGGCGCTTTAATAAAAAAAAAAACATGAACGTCAGTTGCTATTAATGTTATTTCTTAGTAAGTAAAAACAAGAAATGACAGATAAGTGATGAGTAATGAGAGATGATAAATAATTGATAAAAATAACGATAATTAATAATAATAATAATTTAAAAAATTGTAAAAATAATAAAATAATAATAATAATAATAATAATAAAAATAATAATAAAGCTAAGGCTGCCGGGCTGGATGATTTGCTCCTTGTGAATTGTTATTTTTTGCGGAGTGTTGTTTTGTCCTTAATTTAACGGGGGGGGGGGTTTTCCTTAAAGGGGGGTGCGGGGATAAAACGATTAATATTTAATTTAAAATAGAGTGATGGGCGACCACAATGACAGTGACGTCACACGATTTTGGAGCACGGTATTCGAAAACGAGGCTCGTGAACTGGGTCCTAAAAAAACTGGTGCTACAGGATTTTGAGCTAGTGTTAAAAGATAAGGAATTTCCTAAAATGGACCGAATTTCAAAAGCTTTCATTCGGTAACCCCATAAAAAATTGCAAACTTTGGATATTTCAACGTAAATTTGGCCGTTCTTTTCATTTGTATGGGTTTTCACTTATGTAAATGTCTGAATTATGTGTAAAATAACAGTTTGCCCCAGTTTTTATTTCGAAAATTTGCGCTAGACCCAACCGTAACGAGCTGGTAACGACCCAGCCAACTGATAAGAATGGTCGTCGCGGGCGGAAAATTGAAAAATTATGATTGGCGAAAAAATCCAATGATAATATAATAAGTTGATTGCATTTTTGAAGAATGAATCTTTTAAAAAGATATGTTTGCTGGTTTGGATAAGGAAGTCTTGGAAGTGGTGATCTTAGAAGTTGCGTTAAATAGGTTTGTTACCAACTTGTCTTACCTGTGTAGGCATAGCCTAGCGCTTAGTGCAGTACTGTATGTAGAGAATACGGAATACTACTCTACTACCTGGCGCGATCTAGGCCTAGGCCCCTCGTTTTGGCCTAGTCATCATACAAACTATAATAATTATATTTCAAACATTAGACAAACATACAACAATATTTTAAATAAAGTACATTAATTTACATGTTAATTATTAAATTCATGGAACTATCTAGGCCCTACTACTACTACTACTACTACAACTACAGTATTACTAAAATTCGTCGTCGTGGAATGTGGATGATAGGCCTACCTCGAAAACTAGCTCAAATTTGCGCGGAAAATGGCTAGGAAAAATCACAGAACTTAACTTCTACATGATACATTGGCAATGGTTATATATTCAGATTAGTTCAAAGACTAATTTTCGGCAAATTCTGCTCGGAAATACAACCACCTCCTTAGGCGTGGCCCTGCTAGATCAAAAACTAGTTAGGGGTCAAATTTCCAGCTCTTTGACTCTACTGCCTGGCGCGACATAGGCCTAGGCCCCTAGTTTAGGCCTAGTCATACAAACTATAATAATAATATTTTAAACATTAGACAAACAAACAACAATATTTTAAATAAAGTACATTAATTTACATGTTAATTATTAAACCCATGGAACTATCTAGGCCCCACTACTACTACAGTATTACATTACTAAAATGCCAGTTTATTCGTCGTGGAATGTGGATGATAGGCCTACTCGAAAACTACCTCAAATTTGCGCGGTAAATGGCTGGGAAATATTCACAGAACTTAACTTCTGTATGATACATTGACAATGGTTATATATTCAGATTAGTTCAAAGACTAATTTTCGGAAATTCTGCTCGGAAATACAACCACCTCATTAGGCGTGGTAAAGGGTCAAATATCCAGCCATTTTGATGGTCAAAATACAGGGAATTATTATTACTGTACATTAGAAAAGATTGAGAAACATGATAGTCTAATATACATATATTGTAATTGTCTTCATCATTTTTAAACTAATTTTTATTTTTATATTACAAAAAAGTATTATGTTAATGAAATAATTAATTCAAAATAATTGTTTAGGTCGTGGTTATGTTACACTACTTTGCAATGCATTTAAATATGGGCTTTTCACAGTGATGGTTAATTAAAATATATGAATTTTCAACAAAATTTATCATTGATGATTAGTGCCAGAAACTAATTCCTTATAAAGATATTATAATATTAATACTAATTATTTTTGAATGGTGTAAGAAGTTATCATGATAATGCCACTAAGGCATATACTGCCCTACTATCTTGAAGTAGTACAATATGGTGAATAAACATGAAGGCTCTCGTTACTTCACATGGAAACTACAATCTGTGTTAGTCTGAGTTATTGAACTCCATTGCACACGTACACATGAAATGGTGACAGCGGTGTGTTTATAAAGGTAATTGTCATACTTGAATATACGTTGAAAACGTCACGTACATAATTACATAAAAAACAAGAAGCATGGTAAACTAGGACAGCCAGCAACCTTCGATTTTGCCCGACCGTCAGCATGGACCGAGTGGCGCCAGAGATTCGAACGCTACAGGATAGCAACCAAATTGCATGAAGAAGAAGGTGATATACAAGTGAGTACGTTGATATACCTCAACGGAAATGGAAACCGAAACAATATTTAAATCATTTGTTTTTGAAGAAGATGATGATCAATCGGATAACACTAAAGTAAGTGAGAAATTTGATGAACACTTTATTCCCAAAATCAATGTAATTCATGAGCGAGCCACGTTCTTTCAGAGGCAACAAAATGAAGGGGAATCTGAAGAGGAATACGTACGAGAGTTGTACGATATGGCTAAAAAATGTAATTTCCAAACACAGGAGGTTAAGACAGAAAATATTAGAGATAGGATCGTCGTAGGATTAAGATATAAAAACGTGTCCAAAGACTTACAAATGATGACCAAACTCACACTTGAGGGCGCTATTTAGTTTGCTAGAAATGCTGAACTAGTTGACAAACAAGTTAGAAACCAACAGCAAGGGCTAAGTACAGACAGTAAATCGAACGTAGCCATTGCAAGCATGTCCAGGGGACGTGGTAGAGAATTTTACAAATATAAGCCCAGACCAAATCAACCTAGAGTGGGTAGAGAAAGCCGTAATAATAGTAGTGTTAGTGGAAGAAATAGTAAGCAATGCAGTCGTTGTGGTTATGCACACCAGCGTGAAACTTGTCCAGCAAAAGGTGTTACATGTCGGCGATGCAACAAAAGGGGCCATTTTGCAAAGATGTGCCGCACCAAAGGAGTTGGTGAAGTGTTACTAAGTGATGAGTTTGAGGAGTTGTTTTTAGGCACTGTGACATGCAGTGATAAAGATGAGAAGCCTTGGATGGTGGATCTGAAATTCGAGAATGTTACGATTAAATTCAAGATCGATTCATTCAGGAGCTGATGCAACAATAATATCCGAAAATACTTACAATAGTCTAAATCTCAAGCTAAAGCTAATAGCAACACACACAACTTTCAAGAACTTGACAACGAAATTAGATACGCGAGGGAAATTCACAGCTGAAACAGCGCATAACAATGAACGATATAAGTTTGATGTTCATGTTATTAGCGGAACTACTAGTAACTTGCTCAGTCGTAGCGTATCAATGAAGATGGGACTAATCAGTACCAACATACAGGAAATCAACCATCAAACCATTGGCCTATGGAAAAAATACCCTGTCAAGATTCGACTTAAGGATGGAGCCATTCCATACTATATTAACACACCCCGTAGAGTACCACTGCCGCCCCTACCAAAAGTAGAGAAAGAGTTAAGGAGAATGGAGGAAGCAGGCGTCATAGAAAAAGTGACCGAACCAACAGAATGGTGTGCACCAATGGCAGTAACCCTTAAGAAGTCATGTGATGCCCGGCTTTGCGTTGATCTACGTCAACTAAACAAATCAGTCAAACGGGAAAGATATATCCTCCCAACTTTAGCAAGCTAGCAGGTGCAACTGTATTTTCAGCATTAGATGCAACAAGTGGATATTTCCAAGTTTTTTTTGTTCGAGGAGAGTTCAAAATTAACAACTTTCATCACACCGATGGGATGTCCAAGATGACATCATAGTATCAGGCCGTACTATGGAAGAGCACGATTCTAGATTGAACCAGGTCTGTGAAATGGTGGAGAAAGCCGGACTCAAATTGAACAAAAGCAAATGCCAGATTAGACAATCAGAGCTGTTGTATATGGGAGAGAGGTTCAGCGCAGAAGGAACAAGCGTCGACCCAAACAAGATAAAGGCCATATGCAGTCTAGAGCCACCCACAAATGTTAGCGAATTAAGAAGCATACTTGGGATGGTCAACTACGTAGGTCGTTACATTCCAAAACTATCAGAAGTCACTCGACCAATAAATGAGTTACTGAAAGATTCAACTGCATGGATATGGGGACCAACACAACCAGATGCCTTTGAGCAAATCAAAGAAATAATAACAAAAGCACCACCTACATTAACATTCTATGATCCAAACCAGCCGATTACTTTGTCAGCAGATGCAAGCAGTTACGGACTTGGAGCTGTTCTGCTGCAGGGAGAGAAAGATAATCTAAAAGTTGTAGCGTATGCATCACGCACATTGAATGCCGATACGCTCAAATAGAAAAAGAACTCTTAGCAGGAGTATGGGCAACTGAACGGTTTCATAGATATCTTTGTGGACTAGAAAAGTTTGATCTTCTCACAAATCAAAAACCACTAGTTCCACTTATCAACAACATTGACCTTGACAAAATTCCGATAAGGTGTCAACGATTAATCATGAGTTTAATGAGATACAATCCAGTAGCCAAACATGTACCAGGTAACAATATGGTCATCGCAGACACACTGTCCAGAAGCCCAATGAGTGTTAGCAAATCTACCACAAATGAAGCTGTAGCACTCTATGTTGAATCGATAACAACCACCTGGCCTGCATCAGTATCAAAGCTAGAGCAGATAAGACAAGCAACCAAACATGAATGCCAAGCACTTCTGAAATACGTATTAGATGGATGGCCAAGACATGTGCAGGACATTTCACAAAACCTAAGAATTTTATACCATCTAAGGGGTCATTTCTCTGCTGATGATGGACTGATCATATTCAATGATAGGATATACATCCCATCTGAGCTAAGAGAAGAAATCATGCAGCGTATCCACGATGGACACCAAGGTGTTACAGAATGCCGGAAGCGTGCCAAAGAAAGTGTGTGGTGGTTAGTATATTTATAGTAGTTAATATTTTATGTTTCTATGATGAATGCCTGATGATTACCTGATAATATGGAATTACCTGCAACACAATAACACGATAAATATATTTAATAATAGAAGTCAGAAACTTTATATAATAATCATCAAATTGACTTCACTGCAAATATAAACAACATTATTTTAAGATCTTTTTAAACAAGAATTAGCCAACAAAATGTTCCTCATTGCAATATAATTAATATATAAAATAATATAAACCCACATGATAATATTACAGTATGTTCGTAAAAACTCAAAGAAGGGGAGATGTCATGAAAATGCCACTAAGGCATATACTGCCCTCTATCTTGAAGTAGTACAATATGGTGAATAAACATGGAGGCTCTCGTTACTTCACATGGAAACTACAATCTGTGTTAGTCTGAGTTATTGAACTCAATTGCACATGACAGAGGTTACTCTTTTTTCACAATTTTTTAACTAGTGCGTTCAAACTTTTTATTTTACTTCTCTTCTTACAGGAAATGTCGACATGTTGGGTATCGATGGCTTCATTTGGTAGGTGTTTAACAGGCTAAAGAAATCTGACAGAAGGGTCATCCCATCTTGCACTGTCTGGGCGATTAAGGGCAAGTTCCTAGAAGCTGTGAAGACTACCCTGGGTTTTTTATGCTATAGATGATGATGATGAAATAAACTTTGTGTTGGAAGAATTATTTATAAATTGTTATGGAAGATACCTGATAAGTCCATCCTCATTAATGCAACAGATCTTATCTAAATGATTCATTCTTTAAAATTCATGTGACATCTGTTATCTGTTTTTTTGACAATCTTATCACTCATGGTAAGAAAAGACATTTTGTCAGCATAGGCCTAGAGCTTTTGTATATCTGCACCAGTCAATTGTGTGCAACCTTCCAGTCCTAGTCTGTAATTGAAATTGTTGCTATTGATGTGGATAGGCCAGAAAAATTGATTTTAAGAACATGTTGTTAAGTACAATGTTTTTTGTGTCTTCTCCACTCTCGTCTCATAAAAATTTGAAGCTACTACAGTATGAATTAGAATTTTGTGTACAGTAAATAAATTTAGCTTGTTCTTCCCCATTCTTTACATTGGTATAAACTAACTATAGATTCACATATTTAATATTTTGATAATAAATAGAGTGTGGTAAATGCAGTGATATATATCGTAATACCTGACTGCTTCAATGTTGCTTTATTCTGTGTACAGTAAAACAATTTCATATCAACTGTGAAAAAATAAACTTGTAATAAATTATTTGCCATGTACAAGGATGATAGATTGTGTTTCAAAATATTTATTTAGTAACACCAGTAGTTTTGAATTTACTGTATGTACAACAATAATCAATAACCAAGTGAAGCACTAGAAATATGGATGTTGAATATCATCATGAAAGAAGAAATCTTGGCTATGGTAAATAATACAAGACAATCATACATGATAAATGTGTAAGTACAGATAAACTTGCCTAAGATGACTAATAATATATTCTAATAATTTCTAAGTCGATCTAATTTTACATGCTGAATTGTTGTTGCTGTAAGTGCAAGTCAAATTTTGTTAAGGTCAAACAATTTCCTAATGGCATTTTCAATACAACATATGCAAGTTCAACTATATATTTTTAAAATACTAAACAAAAAATGGTGTACAACAAATTGCAATACCAAATTGATCAGATAGCATGCAGACATAGGCTTAATCAAGGCAATAAAAAATAAGCAGATTCATAGAATAACTTTACACAAGACTGTACAAAGGCCATACATTATAATATTGTTCATGTATATATTGAGCCACATTTTCATACTGTATTATGAACTTCTCACATTACATATTTCAAAATCAATCCTTACAATTTCTTTTATAATTCTGTTTCACATATTTGCTTCAAAAGAATTACTAATGAATGGGATTATAATTTTAAAAGAAGAAAGTACAGCACTTTTAATACCATATTAAAGATTTTTTGCAAGTAAAACAGGTACAGTAAATATACTGGTACAATATTTATTTATTTATTTATTATAAATTTGGCATGCAATATAAGCCAGGATGCGGAAAAACAAAAACTACGTGTGTGGTTTTTCAGTATATTTTCAGATAAAAAATCACTAGATAAATAATTTTAACTTAATTCTGTTGAAATATTTCGACCTCAATCACTTCTGCAGCAGAGCTCTGAGCATCGCTACCTTCTGCTAACCATGGTTTGGACATGTCCATTTCATCATGTCCACACAGATGGAAATGTTTGCATCAAATCTATTCGAGCCTGTCATTCGATCCTATTGAGGAATGAATATACAGTAGTTACAATAATGCAAAACCAGGTATGTTAAAAATCAAAAATGTTATCAAACATTGGCATTTGCTGCTTTATCAATCACATACCACACTGAGATGCTGTATGTACTAATCTGAAAAGACATTTATCAATTGACAGTATTTTTAGTTGAACAAAACTTTTTTAATTACTTGATTGAAGCCCTCCTGTCTGCTAGTTTGTAATGTATTATTTTTGTGTCTAAAACTGAAACACCAATGCTGATATTTTTTTTACCATGCCAATATATTTGTTTCGTGTACTCTGGCTGAACAGTGATGAGATATTCACTTCATTTTTTATTGCTCACCTTAAATTGTGTATAGCTTTCATTACAAATTTCAGCAGACAACCAGAATGTTTCTTGCCAAGGTCTTGCTGGGTGCTTGTATGCTTTGTACCACCTTCTTTCGTAGATGCCAATGTTGGGTGGTTGTACTCACGGCAAATGTTGTGGTATTTTTGTCTTATCATGGCGACTGACAAATACCTATATGTGACCAGAGTGTCATATTTAGTCCTATCACCTATCTTGTCCTACAAAAAAAAGGTTTGGCGTAACATTATTATTGGAGTATTATTAAATGGGGCGTTATTGTTGTGTAGCCTAAGCTTCTAGGCCTATATTATAATAATATTCTTACAGGAATTGGTGTCGGCTCTGATGATATACTGTAGTGTATAGCACATCACCTTTTACAGTGCAGTTTTTAGACATTTAGGCCTAGGCCTAGACAGTTTCTCATAGGACCAGGCCCAGCCTAAGCCTATAGTATTATTATTAGGCCTAGGGGCCTAGGCCTATTTATGAAAAAAAATGAACTGGCACAATGTGACAAAGTCGCCATGGCATGACAAGTTCAGGCTAGGCTAGTAGTAGTAGTAGAAACCTACTATTAACTTTACCGTCAGCTGGATAAGGCTGCGTGCGAACTCACCTGCTGCGGGAATGGAGCGGTGTCCCAGACTGGAGTGCGCTACTGCTGCTGGGTAGACACTGACTGTGTTAATCCTATGCATAGGTGTAGGCCTAATTATAAACAAACAAGTCATTGGACTGATATACTTTTATTTATTCAATTGAATTATTTCTCCATGATTGAATTGACGCTGCGTACGCAAACGATCACAAAAACTCACGACTTCACACTACTGTTGTCTAGGCGCTAGTCGCTCGATCATCATCAGGAAGATTCCTCGATCAGCTGCTCGCCAAAATTGATAGATTGGTCATGAATATTAATGAGTTGGTTAGAAAATGCTACCAAACTACTGAAAAAAGTGATCAGCCTCGTTTTTACCTGATTCTCCTGTCTCATCATTATCATGTTCTATAATTATCGTGACATCTCAACATTTTGAATTTTTAAAGTATATTTCCCAAACTCAAGAAAGGTTAAATAAGCAATATATGGCCACTTGTCTCATTTCCGCACCTCCCCCCCCCCCCCTTTAATCTTCCTGTCTGGTGAACCTGAGACAACTATACAAGGAGATTGGAAACGCGTTTGGATTCTATTGTTCACTAGTTTGTGATGTCTTGTGTTTCAATGATATGCAAATAAGGTTGTTCGAACCGCAAGCGGACAACTTCCACACACGAGACAAGCAGATATTTTCGTGGCGGTATTGGACGTATTAAAATTTTACTTTGGCAATTTCTTTGAAAGGTAAGATACATAAACACATATATTGCAGTTTAAATATCTGAAATTTATGGTATGCGTACATAAGTCTACAATAGGCTAGTAATTCGGCAACCCCTACCCTCAGCCGTCCAGGACTAGGTCTAACCAGGTCCCGCACTCGGTAAAATGCCTGAATTGAAGAAACTCACTAAATCCATAGTACAGTTTACACACATTTATAAGCACATATGTTCTGAAATCATTTACCACAACAGAAAAAGGTATTTTTTTGTGTACCTAGTAAGTCATGTTCAGAATCAGAGTATATGTGCATACAGTCCAATTGACATATTTTTCTATTGAGCAATTAAATGTTGGAAACATCAGCTATTAAAATACATTTTTCTCTAATATTCATGAATCATTAGTCATTGACAGGTTATATACCGAATGATTAGCAACCTGTTTGTACCTATATTAAATATCTTTATGGATTACATGATTATAGTCCAATTGACATATTTTCGTATTAATTACTGCTTTTTGAGCAATTGAATATTGGAAACATCAGCTATTAAAATACATGATATGTATAAAATGATCATAAATATGAAATACTGCCTTAAATTATGCCCTAGTTTAGGCCTACAGTTGGGCCTAACCATTATATAGGAGCGTAGCGCCGTTTCGGCCGCGAACAAGTTCGGCTACGATGTCAGGGACTCCAATTTGGTAGTTGTTTTCATTTACATGGCTCAGTGATCATGAACTGAGCATGTGCAGTAAGCATTCGCTCTGCTGCAACAGTGTTTGGTTGATTGGATTTGCATATCAAAAGCATGCAACACACAACGATTCGCCGGGATGGAAGAACAAAGGAAATCTCGGGTCGTTTCCAATCTCCTTCTTTAGTTGTCTCAGGGTGTACATTTGTGAAGTTTTGGTGTTTTTGTGGAACTTTTTGCTGTTTTTCTTTTTCGCCTGATTTTATCAAGTTTTTGTGTACGAGTTGCTAGGCCCTGTGTCGTACTTTCCTACTGTATATGAACGCTAGCACACAATTCACACTTCAGCAGGTGCCAGTGAAAGGAATGCGCGCTATTTGAACAACGACGACGACGACGACGACGACGCGATAGTCTTACCTATCATGCCGGCTAAAATTGCCTGCTACTCCAGAGTAGAATTATTGTCTTTTATTTTTTCACCAACTAGCTGTTACTAATTCCAGATATTAATAGGTAATTAAGGGCTGTGCTGCTGGTCGTAAGAAATCTCGAGCCATTAGCGTTGTTCGCTGCAGACGCCATTTTAGACATTATCATCATCGCAATTACTTCAGATCTTCTCTGCTGACTCTAACTAGAGTTCCATTTGTTAACTCTGGTACTAGAACTAGTTGTCAACCAAATCAATTCAAATTTTTTTTATGACGAATGCTCGTTTGCAGCCTGACCATATCGACGAACTTGAAACCAGCCTAAATTTGTTTAGTGTTGATGTTGGCATTATTACTGAAACATGGCAAACACCACTCATTTCTAATGATAGCATCTCTATCGATGGACTAGAAAAGGAGGAGGTGTTGCTGTTTATGCTAAAAATTGTCTAAATTCGAACATAGTGGGACTTGTTGAAGTACCAAATGAGGTCGAATGCGTCTGGGTGATGGTTCGCCCCGTAAGACTTCCCCGTTCAGTTTCTTTGATCGCTGTTTGCGGTGTGTACATACCGTCAGGAGCGCCTTTATCTCTTCGTGAAATGTATGTTGACCACATAATTTCTGGGATTGACGATATTAAACTCCACCATCCAGATACTGGTTTGGTGATTATTAGCGATTTTAACCGAACGAATACCAGCCTCCTTGAAAGAGCTTATGGACTTAAACAAGTTGTTAATGGCCATACTCGCAAAGACGCTACCCTCGATTTGATTTTTTACAAAACAGTTGAAACCTACAAGGCAGCATGTCAGGGACAATAAAAAACTTATTTCATATCGGAAGCAAAAATTAATCATTACAATAACACGTACAATATTCTTATTTTTTTTTATTGATCAAAGAGGGTCAACAATTGTCGACATACAGACACTACCTTGTTCAACTTCTGAGGTCTCATAAAGTCTTCTGAGGCAATTAAATAAAAATACTTATGTTTTCAAGAACTTTATACATTTACAGTAAATACAGATATTGTAAATTTAATATATACTGAGATAGTGTATCTTCTTCACTTGGATCTATGCCGATAGCTTTTTACAGCAGGGAGTGACTTCTACAGATAGAAGTTCCAGACCACCACAGTAACACTAATTTGCAAATTTAAGTTATTTTGCATATGAAGGAGATAGGCCTATGATATCAAGGTTTGGTTATGGAAAATTATTAACTCGTCAGGTATGTTCATTTTTATAATGAAATGTGGCAAAGGCAAGCGAAACCAGTCACTCGTCGCAAATTAATGCTGTTTCCGATATAATGGCCAAAACATGCTGGAATATTCAGGCCTGTAGCCAGGTCATTTCAAGGGGGGGTTCTCTGGGCGTTGGGTCTAGGGGCCTGCCGAAGGGCCACGGTGGGGTCGGGGGCGAAGCCCCCAAAGCCAGAGCAGTTTTTGTGTTTTATGGGTCTATATAATGTTGTAAAAGCAGTTATGTTTTGAAAAAAATCTATGTAATAAAAAGGTGGAAATATTTATAATAAAAATAGAAAATATTTTCTGAAAATTGGCATGTTTAAATCACACCAAAAGATATGAAAAAAAAACCTCTCATCGCATAATCAATACTCAACACATTTATTATTATAAAACAAAAAATAGCTATTCTTCTACCTCTTCCTATTCTTCTTCTACTACTTCTTCTTAACTCTCATTTTGTACACTGAAAATAATAGTACTATTTTACTACATGCCTAACATAGCACAAATATTGTCATTACTACTGACAGGGCCATCGTTAAATTAAGTCAGAGCCCAAAATATAGTATCATATTCAATACGTCATCTGACATCATGAGAACTTACACTTTAATTACAATTATTTGTTATATACTAGGCCTAATTCGAAATTATTATTTTAAGACTTTAAATGAACGAGGAGCGAACCTAGCTAGTCAACATCTAGGCTAGGCTAATTGATTTTGAAATCAATAACCCACCTTAAAGGACTATCTGTCGTTTTCTTCTTTGCAACAGCGGACGAAAAAAAAGTCAGTTATTCTACGACGTTTCATGATTCTTTATCACTAAAAATTAACACTCGTTTTCACGCACTCGCAGTTCTGTAGTGTGTGTCTGCTGTTGAAAACAAACTTCCTAGCCTAATTTTGTGACTGGCTATGATGACTGAGATGGACCATGTTGATTTATTAATAATATTTTGTTTGGGATGAAAAAAAAGGAGAGTCAATTTCCCAAAAATGCTCCATCAGCACATAGTTTAGCGTGTACATGGACAGTGTGGCTATGGAATTTACTACCCACACAATCCACAATCAGGTGATCGCAAAACTTTAACTGCATTTGGTGGATTAGGTCGCAAAACTTTAGCTTCGTTTGGCACCATTTACTCTAGGTAGACGGCGACTGGTTTCGTTACCGGTTGGTACATTTCTTACAAACATTCAGCCAAAGGCCAGTGAAAGTTGAGACGGCAACCGGGTTTTTATCGATGTTTGCCATCCTCATGTGTGCCATCGTAAAGTCATGGTTTGCTGGAGTTCCGTTAAATTTAAATCTCCGAACTTCCGAAGCTGAGATATTCTATGAATGCAAGCTTGTATCGCAGGCTATACAATTTTAAAACGGGTGACCAAATAATGAATTAGGTGCTAAATTTTGATTTAATGCTGGGTAAGTTAAAAACAGACATTCCGTCCGAGTGAAACTCATTCAAAAATTCGAGGGGGTTCGCTAGAAAAGGGGGGTTCGCCCCAACCATAACCCCCCCCCCCTGGCTACGGGCCTGATATTAAAATTTTGGAAATCTATGTCTATTGTACTAAACTATCTTGTATATATCACGCTATGCTGTTATTTTCTCCATTTCCAATGTTAAAACAACAATTTTTAACGATTTTGTGATGGTTTCTTTCTGAGAAATGCCCTAAATCGTAAACCTTGAAGGCTGATTTTTGAAATATTGTTCTTTAAACAGCTGTATGTAAATGATGATTCTCTTACAACTGTATAGCTCTCATTTTACTGTTTAATACTTACTACTTTACTATATTAATAATTGAAAATCGATTTTTGCAACGGGTGACTGGTTGGGCTTGTCTTTGCCACAATTGTTTACTAAATTTCTTATATTTTTATATGAAAACTATGGTATTTTGGTGGCAATTTTGTTTATACTGATATCTCAAATTGCTCAATGTTGAGCGGCGTCCAGAAAAAAAAATACTGGATTATAATGTTGACAATCAAAATCTATCAACATAAAAAAACAAATTAGGTTTGCGAAAAATTGGTATTTAGCTGCCAGACTACTATCGTCCAGCTAATATAGCTTGGGTTTTGTTAATTTAAAAAAAATTTAATAATTTGTATTATTTATGTAGATGAGAATGTTCACTGAACGACATCTACAATTATAACTACAAATAAATGGTTGGCCCTGGTCTCCCCATTTTTGTATTCATCGCCGAATAAATAATAAATTGAAATGGGTAATAGGCCTACTTACCATCCATAAAAATATCACGTCGCCTTCGGGATTAACATAAAACTCCTGGTTTTCGATCTTTGCCTAAAAAAAATAAATTGTGTTTATTCGATAATTGGGACTTAGAAGCGAATAAAAAATACATTTCAAAAAATAAAAATGATATAATGCATACCATTTAGGCCTACGTTTACTTTTAAATTGCCGGGTATATTTATAACTTATAAGTTGAATACTTACTTTGATGTAGTTTTTGAACTTCAATAGCGAGCTTCGTTTATCTTCCTGTCAATAGTCAAAATATTAGTATCTCGGTCAAGAAATGATCTTTTAACAATAATTTAATTTAATTTTTCATTGTATTTATGTACTTCAATTGTAGATCTAAATAGATCTTTGTTTCCTTCGTCACTGATAACAGACTTTAGCAAATCTCTTGCGAATTTTCGCAAGTAGGCCCATTTAGGGACGCCAGGTAGTCCGGTAGAGCAAAACATCACTCCTATGATATTTTCCTGACGCAAAGTCACATCGAAATAGCAGTTGCAGTACCAACTGCTACTTGGGGATCGGATTCAACACTTTACTATTAGTCCGATGGTCCGATCATCGCTTCATTCAAACTGGTATTTCTACTGAGCATGCGCACACACTTATTAAGTAAAAAGTACCGCAATGGAGCATTCATGTCATAACTGTTACTAGCTACGTACAACGTCTTAAAAATAAAGTATAATTAACAGTGGGTCAGAGGGGAATCCAGGACATAATTATCTGCCCAGGTATGTGGCATGTGTGGCCCATGTAGAATGAACATAAAAATGGCCTTGCATTTTCGCAGATATATGGCACATGGTCCCCATGTGGCGTACATATCCTACAGCTATCTGCCCATTTACTTGGCATATGGGGCTACATGTAGAGTAAACACAGGCACAAATATTATTTCCCATATATTTGACACATTAGGCCCTATGGGAATTTGGCATATAGGAATTTGGCATATTAGACCCATGTAGATTGCACATGGACATGTTTAAATGAATTTTCCAAGATATTTGGCATGTGGGTCACATGCAGATTAAATGTGGCCATTCCCAAAGTTATCTTCCCTGTTATTTGGCATATGTAAATGTGTAAATTAAACACTAACTTAAGCCCATATGTATTTCCCCAGCTATTTACACATTGGCCCCATGTGGAGTAAATGTAGGTATTATTTCCATAATTATCCGCCCAGTTATTCGGCATATGGGGCCCGTGTAGATTGAACAATAGCATGTCCATATTTATTTTCCCAGATATTTGGCACATGGGCTCCATGTAGATTAGTGTGGGAATTATCTGCCCATAATTTGGCGTGTGGTGCCCATGTAGACTGAACATGGGCATGCCAATATGTATTTTCCCAGATATTTGGCACATTGAACCCATGTGGATTAAATGTGGGCATTCCCATAATTATATGCCCAGTTATTTGGCATATGGGTCCCATGCAATTTAAATATGGGCATGCCCATATGTAACTTCCCATATATTTGGCATATGAGCTCCATTTAGATTAAATATGGGCCTTCCATATTTACCTGCCCAGGTATTTGGCAGATGGGTCCCATGTATATTATATGTGGGCATGCCCATATGAATTTTCCCAGATATTTGGCACATGGGCCCAATGCGAAATTAATATGGGCATACCCATGTTCAACTACCCCGATCTTTAGAATGTGGGCCCCATGTAGATTAATATGGGCATGCCAATATGTATTTTCCCAGATATTTGGCACATGGAACCCATGTGGATTAAATTTGGGCATTCCCATAATTATATGCCTAGTTATTTGGCATATGGGTCACATGCAAATTAAATATGGGCATGCCAATATGTAACTGCCCACATATTTGGCACATGGGCTCCATTTTGATTAAATATTGGCTTCCCATATTTACTTGCCCATGTATTTGGCATATGGGCCCCATGTATATTATATGTTAGCATGCCCATAAGTATTTTCCCAGATAATTGGCACATGGGCCCAATGCGAAATTAATATGGGCATACCCATATTCAACTACCCAGGTCTTTGGCATGTGGGCCCCATGTACATAAATATGGGCATGCTCATATGTATTTTCCCAGATATTTGGCACATGGGCCCAATGCGGATTAAATGTGGGCATTTCCATATTTATCTGCCCAGGTATTTACTATATGGGGCCCATGTACTTAAAATATGGGCATTTCAATATATATTTGCCTATATATTTGGCATATGGGCTCCATATGGGTAAACCATGGGTAAGGTCCATATGTGATTGCCCAGACGGATCCCATAAGGGGAAAATATGGGGTAGCCCATAAGACTTTTCCCAGATATTTTGCATGTGGTATTGATATATATATATATATATATATATATATATATTATACACATCTATATATATATATATATACATGTATATATATATATACATATACATGTATATATATATACATATATATATATACATGAAGAAGGCGTGTCCACGTGTGTTTCGAAACGTATGTAGAATATAAAATAACGTAACAGTAAAGAAACTTAAATACGTAAGATGTTGACTTTAAAGTCACGAAAGTTTAAAGGAACGAAATATTATTTCGAGGGAACAAAATAATATTTCGAGGGAACGAAATAATATTTCGAGGGAACGAAATAATATCTCGAGGGCACGAATTCTGGTGCCACCCCCGACTCTATACACACTAGTATTTGTCACATACATGTGAAACGGCGAGATTAATGTAATTCGTTCTCTTTTTAAGCATCTTTAGAAGACAATATAATAAAGTTTACATTTTAAAAGATTAAATCTGAAAGGTCTTGCGGTACTGTAGATCAAAGCTTGGAGGTATTACCACTTTCTGTGTTTCATTTAAATTCATCAAACTAGTATGGCTCATATTTTCTAATTTACCTGTTCAGTGATATTTTCAGATCCTGACTCATCTTTCTCCGTTGCCTTTTCTTCATTATTTTCTTCATTATTTTTTACTTCTTCGTGTTTTGCTCTGTCTTTCTCGCTTGTCTTATTCTTTGTTTCAAAAGTAACTGTCTTTATCTTGTCAGACATTTTATATCCTATATTTAGAAAATTTAAGCAGTAATAGAGTGTAATAATATAATGAAACTGCGTACGTTTTTATGTAGCGCTCTACACACAAGACTCAGAGCGATTTTCCACATTATTACCCCAGTCATTGGAGCAATGCCTATGTTGGAATTCCATAGTTTGCCACATTAAATATATCAGCACATTGCATTCGAGCCTACTCGGGTGCATTTATACTCTTGGGTGGAAAGAAGTAACACAAATGATATGCCTTGCTCAAGGACACAAGCCCTGCTCAAAGGATTGAAACCAAAACCATTGCCGCTGCGCCAAACCGCTTCCACAATACAGTAGGCCTAGCTGTTATTCCTTAATCTTTTCTAATCGTCATGTTCCTTTGAATTACAGAACATTTGCACACGAAAGACGTCTTTAGAATAACTTCTTCTTGTTTATTCATAGATCATGCTCTGTAGAGGAATTAGACTGTGGTTTAAAAACTGGACATTAATATTCTTATGTGTAGTGGTGAAAGGATTGGTAGGAACAGGGCCGTGACGTGAACTTTCTTGACCAATTTAGAATAACTAAAACTATAACAACACCCAAATAAATACAAGCAAACGACCCGTCCAAATGCTATTGCCCCCTTGAGCCTTGCGAATTTACTATGTTTATTGTCCTTGCATAGGCCTATCTTGATCTGTTTCGGGTCTATAATTATTGCCATTATTTTATTTTCGTCTCATACCGGTAACTAATATAGCATTAATCTTGATTATTATTAAATTGTTCGGCTATAGGTCGGAAAACCTGGTATTTGAAGGTAGATATAGAGCGAAATTGTTATAGTTATCTCCAAGCCTCCTCTTCTTTTCTCCTATTATTTACAACAATGCTTTAGGGTTGACAGCAAAATGTTATCAACAGCCTAACCTGTTTACTGTGATAGCCCAGCTGAAATTCATCTGAGGTTCTCTGTTCTCTCTAGGCCATTGAGGATAGGGCTAGGCCTAAAACCTGGGCCTTTTGTTGGCCTAGCTAAGCTGTAAGTTAATTGCCCCATAGTCTAGCATTGTATTTGGGCTGTGTCCTCACTAATGTCCATGATGCTTTAATAAAATAATGGGTTTAGGGTTAACCGGGGAGGGAGTGGTGTAAAGAATTGTATCATTATTTGCAGAAAGTTAATGTATTAAATCTAGGCCTATACTATAACATAAGTGGTGATTTTATTTCAGGATACTCAATCAAGTCTCAGTTACTACTGTAATTAAGTGAAAACTCAATCCGGTCAACTTAATCTTGTAGTTGAAAGCATTAATGTTTGTTTAAAGACGTATCTGTAAAGGAACAGAAAAAATTACCTGACATTCTATAGTGCTTTAATAAAATAATCAGTTAACGGTTAACTGTGGTGAGGGAGGGGGTGAAAAAAAAGAATTGTATTATTATTTGGAGAAAGTTAATGTAATCAAAAGGCCTATACTAACAACATAAATGGTGATTTTATTTCAGGATACTCAAGTCTCGGTAACTACTGTGAGTGAAAACTCAATCCAGTCAACTCAATCATTGTAGTAGGAAAGCATTATTGTTTGTTTGAAGACGCATCTGTGAAGGCCAGAAAATTACCTGACTTACTAAAGGTGAATATAATGTTTTGTTGACGTTTTATTTTTACTGTCCTGTACTATTAATTATTAACAACATGCTATAGATGATGATGTCGTTTACACGATGGAGTTTAATCAAATTTAATGTGTATATAGTAGGCCTATATAGGCCTTAAGGGATATTGAAATTGTAGTGATAGGCCTTAAGGGATATTGAAATTGTAGTGATAGGCCTTAAGGGATATTGAAATTGTAGTGTAGGCTAAGCTGTTTTGAAAACTAAAAAAAAAAATAATAATTTTCTTTTGTTTAAAAAAGAAGTAACTGCTAGTCTGTCATTAGCTACATAGCTATTTTAATAAAATAATAAAGGGATGTAATACATTTAATAGCGGTTTCTATAATATGCGCTCTGTTTTGTTTTGTTATATCTTTCAGCAAGAGTGAAACTCCGAGAAATGTTAGTACAAGTCACAGTGATTTAATATTTCAAACTAGATTTGTTCAACGGCATAATTCATACTAATTTAGCTTGGTACCATCGGACAAGAAAAGGCATGGTTATGGACAGTTGCTGCTCCAATATCACAAAGAATGCTGGTTTATGCACACCTGTAACACAAATGGTTCTTGAATATTGTTTTATATAATAACTCTTATAATAGGACTACATTACGAAAAAAATGCTTATTTAAACCGGACTGTAAAAGCAAAGAACTGTAGAATAGCCTTGAATTTGAGGTACAGTATGTTTAGCAGTAAGACATTAGCAAAACGATAATATATGAAGGGGTATACTAGTAAATGAGATCCTAGGGAAGTAATGTCCCTACCGTATGATGTTTGTTAAATTAAAGAAATTATGGTTTGTATATGAACTCATAGTGTATTTTGTTAAGTCTGCAGAAGTTGATTAAAGCCATTGTTACCAATTAAAACTGGGACTATTGCAAACCAATTGGAATTTGGGCCAGTTAAAGTTGAAGAGCAGTTGAATTGTCCAAAAACACACAACACCCACATTTTTTTTTAATTTATTTTAAGAATACACAGATTTTCTATATAAAATCGTTCAATTTATATACACTTTCTATATACAGTAATTGTATAGAATTTCTATTCGCATATTTAATGTATTTTTATAGGTTTTT